CTGCAGGGCTGGCTGCGTGGGAGACACCTGGTGTGTTCCTGTGCCCAGAGTGGGTTTGGGGCAGCAGGGAAACACCAGGTGTTCCCCCACCCAGCCAGCCCCATGGGCGGTCTGAGTGGGGAAGCACTTTTTCCTGCTGCTCCAAACCCACAGCACAGGTCTGTGGGAGTCAGGAAAGTGGGGGTTTCCCCTGCCCAGCCAGCCTTGCAAGCAGGGAAAAGTGCCACAAGGTATTAGATTTCCGCTGCAATGAAGTGGCAGAGTCTATTACTACCTTTTGTTGCGCCACTGATATTCCTGTCATCTCAAAGATGATCAATGTCTATTTGCTCCACATTTGTGCTGCCTTAAACACTAAGGCACAACTGAGAAATCAGGCAAAATCTGTTCCCACCCCTCTACTTGAAAAGTGAATCAGTCTTCAATTGTGTCTGAGCTCTGGTCGTTATTAATTTTAAATTAGAAGATGCTGTGAAACCTGACCCCCAGGAATTCTTTTCTTCCTAAGCTAAGATTCCCTTAGTGTTTTCAATGAAGAAGTTTAGATCATAACCACTTGCACACAGCGGACTCATGTCCAGTCTAGTTTACCCCAGTAACTTACGACTACGTATCAATCTATAATAACTGAATTAATTTAGTCACTGGGCTGAAGTCATGAGCTTCCACAGAAATCTTTTTTTCTTGCCCCCATAACAGCCAGTATAAGTCTGGTTTAATACAGGGGTCGGCAACCCCTGGCACGCGTACCCAGCATGGCACGTGAGGCCATTTTGCTTGGCACACTGTGGCACAGCTGGTTTGGAGCCTCCTGGCTGCAGCCGGCCCCGGCTCCGGGTTGCTGCTGCCAATGACAGAGCCCGGGCTGCTCCCAGCAGGGCTTACAAGCATCCCAGCTGCCTGCTGGGAGCAGCCCGGGATCCCAGCTGGCAGCAGCTCCCCAGAGCTGGGCCACCTGCAGCTGGGAGGCTCCAAACAGCTGTGCCGGGCTCCTGCAACAGCTCCGCACCAGCACATGCAGGTGCGCCTTGGAGCGGGCGGTGGGGGAGGGGCCTGAGGCAGCGCAGCCCTGGTCTGTCCCCCGCTCCCTGCACAGAGGTGAT